CCGGGGGGGCCTGGCTAGACGCCGTCTGGCAGGGAGCCGGCGGGGCGCTGCACAGCCCGCGGCTCCGCCGAGGTGCCGCTCAGCGGCTGCGGGAACAGGGACCTGCACCATGTCTCGCCGTGTGTATCGTTACCGAGGAGCCCGGTTACACCCCGACGGTGCTCGTTACTGCCCTTTAAAGTGCCTGTCCGAGGCGTTGGCTGTACGCGCTGTGTGGCGGCCCGTGCAGCCAGCAGGGACCGTCGGCACCTCCGCTAAATTAACGCAGTTGGGAGTAATTTCTTACAGTTTATAGAGGCAAAAATGGCAACTTCCTGGCGCGATTCAGGGCACGCCCGGTAGGAAGCTGTATAGGAAGGTTAAGCAGAGCTAGATGATAGTACGACCGATACTCAAAAAAACCCCAAAACCCCTGAATTTCTGAGTTTGCATGGGGAGCCGCTGCTAATAACATTTTTGCTATACCCACTTACCAGTCTTTTCTGTAACTTCAGTGATGCAGACTCTCCGAATTCTGGCAAAATGCTATGGGGTGTATGATATGGCAAATTTCATGTATCGTTAAATTAGGTTCTCTTTGTAATTTTTGAGGTGACTTCAAAGATTTGCTCACTCATACTGAATCTTAAATGTTGCTTGTTAGAACTGTAATACTGCTCATGGGTTAAGATTAGTGTTCAAAAATGCCTTTGGAAGGTTTTGTTTGAGCCACAACTGCAGGTGTTAGTTTACGTGTTATTGTCATTAGTACTTTTTGCAATCTTTATATATTCATGCTTGGAAGTTCTACTTTTACAGACACACAATGAAAATAGAAATTAAAAACAACTTTCTCTTATTTTTGCAATGCAACTAAAAAGCTGCTGAATGTCTAACAATGCTATTGCACAAAGTCACTTTTTTGAAGCAGTTGAATTTGAAACACTGTCAAGAGCAATCACTTTATTTTCCATCTGATTATTCTCTGTTGTTCTTGAACAGCCTCAATAAGTATCAGTGTATATTTTAATATAATGCTTAATATGACAGCAGCATCAGGATTGTCCATGGTGTCTGTTGTCCCTATTTTGCTTTTGTTGCAACTTGCAGACTAACTCCTTTGTCAAGATTTAGTCTCTAACCCCTAAAGACTTCCTAGTTCCCCATTGCTCTTGCCTCTTGTACATTTCTGCTCTAATAGAGCTGCAGTGTGTTTGAGCTAGTAGTGTTCTTTCCTCCTTTCCTTTTTCCTATCTACCATAGGCAGGTAGATGGAATTGTGTTAATTTGCTTCCAAAACCTGATGTGTCTAGGCTTATGAAAAACCTTTTCAAGCAACATATTCAGTATGCTTTGGTAAAAGGTGAATTTGGAAACTCAAAATGCATGCATTAGCATTGTTAATATGCACATTAATACCCTTTATACCTAAGGGGATAAACCTGTGATCAAATGTCACTGTGTCATAGCAGGTTGCTGCTTGCCTACTGGTGCATTATGGTGATCTGCATGTATGCTCCAGCCTAGATAAACTGTTCCTCTAATCCCACCGCTGTGGGCTATCATAATGCTCCTGCGTTGGACCGGTTCACTGTTGTGTCGTTTCAGAGCAGAATATATTGATTTTTCAGCCTACTACTTTAAAAGTCACAAAACTGAAGCTGTAACTTGTCCCTGTGAATGAGGCTTTGGTGATCATCTGTTGTCACAAGTCAGTCTTGCACCAACATGTAGTGGTCTGTTTAGAATCTAGCACTCAGTGCTATGTTGAGGAAGAAAAGGTAGCCACGAGTCAGGAAACTCGAAAAGCCAAGTACTTGTGGTGGGGGTTTGGGGGACTTTTATTTTTTTAACAATCTAAATTAAAGGTACAGCATGTGAGGTGTCTCCCCTATCAAAATATTAAGGTTGTACAAGTTCTGTCACCTTGTTGACTGTTCAGGTCAACTTTAGAGGTAGCAATAAACCTGCAGTGTGGTAGCAATTGTAAATGAGTAATAATGTACAAGTTCTGTTTTCAAGTTGACTGTTCAGGTCAACTTTAGTGTTCAGGTCAACTTTAGAGTGTGGTAGCAATTGTAAATGAGTAATAAAATGGATTCCATCCTTTTAGTTTTCAGCCCATGGTAATTTCAGTGCTTTTTGGGAGAAATTGTTGCAAATGCCTCTTCAAGAAAAATTGTGTATAATAGGTTTAAATTAACGTAAGGACTGTTTTCAAGTTGACTGTTCAGGTCAACTTTAGTGTTCAGGTCAACTTTAGAGTGTGGTAGCAATTGTAAATGAGTAATAAAATGGATTCCATCCTTTTAGTTTTCAGCCCATGGTAATTTCAGTGCTTTTTGGGAGAAATTGTTGCAAATGCCTCTTCAAGAAAAATTGTGTATAATAGGTTTAAATTAACGTAAGGATGAAACAAAATGCTTACCGTCAAGTGTTTCAGCTTTTAGTACACCTCTACTAAATTTTACTTAGATTAAAAAGGTGTGTGGACTTTTGAAGAAGTCTGATGTTTTGTCTGTCTTATGAAATTCTATTCACAATTTGCAGATTCTATTCAAATTCATCAGCATTATAAAAGTTCTGATGTTGCTGTCTATTGTTCTGCTTTTAGTAGGGCCTGTTAGTGTTTCTGGTGCTTTGGAGTGTTGTGTCACCAGTGGGAGATGCAGGTTTCATTGCTTGTGTAAATGAAATTTAAAGTCCATTAGTTTGATTCACTATTGCCTTAACTTTACTGTGTTTTTTCCTTTTTTGAAGTTTCTAATTATACAACTATTTGGTATGTTTAATCTTCCAGTGCCCTGCAATTAAACAAGATGTTCTAATGCAAGTTAGCTGTGTGCACATCTAAATGATCTTACAAGTGTTTATGGACTTGTTAAAAAATACTTATGTAAACAAACTAGAACCTATAGATAATTGAGTTGTCCCACAGTGGGTGGAAGGAGAAACAAGGTCTGGAAGCTACCAAATTGTGGCATTTTGTCCTTACATGATTATTAAACAAATGTATATTCTTAACTTCTGTCTTTTCAGGCCTTTTAATGCCTCAGAACGTAAATCAAGCTCCTATGCTGTTGTAGACTGTGATCAAGCACGTAAGGAAGTTAGTGTTCGCACTGGAGGAGTCACAGATAAGACATCGAGAAAGACCTACACGTTTGATATGGTAACTGCTTCTCAAGTTGGGGATTTCTATAAACAAGCTAGCACCTTTCTTTAATGTAATCTGACTACTGCACTGTGTGATGGTATGCGTTGCTGTACGTATAAATGGGATGTGTTGTCTTTGCCTCAACAGGTTTTTGGAGCTCAAGCAAAGCAGATTGATGTATACCGGAGTGTTATGTGTCCCATTTTGGATGAAGTTGTTATGGGCTACAACTGTACAGTGTTTGCGTGAGTAAGCTAACAATTGTTACTAGGAAATTTTATTTCTGTATTAGTTTCTTGTTTACATCTTAATTTTTCATTCTCACAGTTATGGCCAAACTGGTACTGGTAAGACCTTCACAATGGAAGGGGAGCGGTCACCCAGTGAGGAATATACTTGGGAAGAGGTACATTTTCACTCCTGAGGTTTCTCTTGTCTGCACTGTGGTTCAAAATTAGAAATTGCGGAAGGCTAAAGAACACCTAAAGCTGATGCCTGTCAAATTCTGAAGCTGCCTTTCCTTAAATGCTTGTAAATTAACAAATGGTCTCATTCATTTATATGAAAACGGAAACTTCTGTGTCTTTAATGAATGCATACAAATCTTGGCAATCTTCATATAGAAGATTATATTTGTCCAAGGTATTCTTGCTTAAATCAGACTGTTTAGCTGAAATTCCACCCGCACCCAAGTCTTTTCCAGTGTATTTGTGTATTAAACACTTCACTTTAATTTACAGGATCCATTAGCAGGTATAATACCCCGTACATTGCATCAAATATTTGAAAAACTCACAGAGAATGGTACCGAATTTTCAGTGAAAGTCTCTCTTCTGGAAATCTATAATGAGGAGCTTTTTGATCTTCTGAATCCTAGTGCTGATGTTGGAGAAAGACTGCAGATGTTTGATGACCCTCGAAACAAGGTTGGTGCTGTCTTCCAAAATTTATCTTAAGGCTTTCAGGATTGTTGAGATGCGTAATAAGCATGCATTATTTTCTGACAGAGGGGTGTGATTATTAAAGGCTTGGAAGAAATAACTGTACACAACAAAAATGAAGTCTACCAAATCCTGGAAAGGGGTGCAGCAAAAAGAACGACTGCAGCTACTTACATGAATGCATATTCCAGGTACCAATCTTGCCCGTTTCAGGAACTTCAGTTTGCTCTTGTTTTATTAAAGAGGATCTTACTGATTAACTGCAAGATGTTGAAGCTACAGCAAACCTGGCATGATCTGCGATTGTGTATCGCTCTTCAGAATCCCAGATGTGGGTTAGAAAGCCATAGTTCCTTATCACATCCTGTGGGATGATGTATTCTAACCAGGTGTCTGAAGGGGCATTATAAAATCTGAACACTTACCTTAAAAGCGGGCAGGCTGCTTCTGCATGATTTTTTACGTAAGCTTGCCCTCGTATTTAGAGTTTGAATGCTTTGTTATCAATATATCCCTTGTTAATGTGCAGTGTCTAGTTGGAACAGTAGCCCTGGTATTCCACCTAGCTCTAGCTGAGATATAAGTAGCAGAATGTTCTCGACCTGTCATCTAGAATATAGAAATTCAATTGAAATTGGGAAGTTTTTCATAGCTTTCTGTGGCAACAAAAGACACAGTTCTGACACATAACTGAAATACATTGTATGTGCTAGCATGAGATAATTGTTCCCTGTAGTAGGTATTGTACATCTTCGAAAGGAAGGCTGTAGTCTTTTCAAGTTTGGAAATTGTTTAGCTGATCTACCTGTATTAGAGAGGTGGGTTGTCTTTGTTCTAGTTGTTGTAGGTGGGTGGGATTTTTTGCCAATCCTGTTTACTAAATAAAAACTTGGTGTAAGAGTCTCAACTATCACTTTGTCTCCTCACCAGCAGTAGAACGTGCTATATTAGGATATAATAGCTAGGATATTAGTATATTCCTAATAATCTTAAATGGTACTGCTGTTCTAAATGAAAACTGAATTGAACTTCTACATCTGTAGTGTTGGATTCAGCTATCTGCTGATTTTCTTAGCCTGAAAAAAAAAAAACCCTAAATTTTTTGATCTCTCATTCTGCAAAAGTATTCTTAGTGTATTGAAAACCGGCTTGTAGAATTTTTAGTCTTGACATGTCTGAATGGAGAACACACAAATGTAAACAATACCAAAGCGTTTCTCTTGGGTTTGTTTGAAATAGGATTAAATTTGCCAGGATTGGATGAGGCAAATGTCATCCAGTTGCTTCATCACTGATTGAAATACCACATTCATATGAATATGCACAAAAATATACCTGGAAGAATAACTGTGTGTTGAAAATGTCTTAATTAACGGGCTTAAAAAGAGCACAGGATACCTACCTAGCAGCAGTGTCACATAGCAAGCAGATCATTTGACTTTAATGGGATGTCTGCCTGAAACTGAATTCTTTTATAGCCGTTCCCACTCTGTGTTTTCGATTACCATCCATATGAAAGAAACAACAGTAGATGGAGAAGAACTTGTCAAAATTGGGAAGCTAAACTTGGTAAGTACTTGAACTGAATTGTATTGATGACGTTCTTAAAGTCATGAACTAGAAAAACCTAATCTCATTCTCTTGAGAATCTACGATTGTGTTTTTTTTCCCAGTAAGGGGGGGAAAAATCGTTGTCTTTCATAAAGTGATATGAACTTTGTTTGTCACTCTAAGGAATGTCTGTCCCATTTGTCACCCCAGTGTCTCTTGAACCAACTCATAAGCTAGTTGGTGTGTTGCGTTCAGTAACACTACAGATCAAGTGTTCTCCAGGGTGATTTGAGACAAAAGCATGTCCTTCCCCTTGTCTTTCAGGTTGATCTTGCAGGAAGTGAAAACATTGGTCGATCTGGGGCAGTTGACAAAAGGGCTCGTGAAGCTGGAAATATCAACCAGTCTCTCCTGACACTAGGACGAGTTATTACTGCCCTAGTAGAAAGGGCTCCGCATATTCCATACAGGGAATCTAAACTGACAAGAATCCTTCAAGACTCTCTTGGAGGACGAACAAAAACATCAATAATTGCCACGGTTTCTCCTGCATCTGTAAATCTTGAGGTAAAGTTAAGTCTGAAAATCTAATCTTGAAACATATATTACGTTTTGCTGATGATTCAAAAAGATGGATTAACTCCTCAGCTTGACCTAGTGTTGCATCTATTTATCACAGGAAACATTGAGTACACTGGAATATGCCCACAGAGCAAAGAACATAATGAACAAGCCTGAAGTTAATCAGAAGCTAACAAAAAAAGCTCTTATTAAGGTGAGCTAGACGTACATCACAAATTCGGTTACAGGCTAGTTATGTCAACATAGTTTTTGCTATGCAGGAATTATGAAGCTGTTATAATTTTAGCAGTGCTTTTCTGTGGTGATTTTTAATCACTTAGTCTGATGCTTTCAAACTAAGCTGTTCTACTGGTTCAGCACCTAGTCACTTTGCAGATACTGCAACTGTTGCTGAGACTAAAGCTGGATGGAGAGGGCTATTGCTCCTAGCTATGACTCTGTGTATGGATTACCTGTTTACAGTTAGTGGAGAACCACTAGATGACACTGGACATTTTTTTCTGGGTTGGCTGTATTAGCAGCTTAATTCCCTAGAAAGTGTGTGAATTGGTGACCTTGGAAATATGAATGAATAGTCAGTATGAAGTTGCTGACTGCTATTAGAGAAGCTGCTATTTCTGTTGTAAGCTGTAATATGCAACCAAGTACGATTCAAATGGGAGGTTTCCATGTTCTACGTATATCCCATGGTACAAACTTAAATGGTGCTATATGGAACTTAGTTGGAATAGAAGTGAGGTGCTTTGCTCCTGTGCTTATGCGAAACTTCCATACAGCACTGTCTTTGAAGTATCTGTGAGGCTAAATCTTGAAAGCAAAGTAGAACTTTTCAGGCTTACATGTGATTGTTTCTTTATGCAGGAATATACAGAAGAGATTGAGCGTCTGAAACGAGACCTTGCTGCTGCACGAGAAAAAAATGGAGTGTATATTTCCCTTGAAAATTATGAGTATGTCTTCAAAATTTCTATAAAATAACTGACAACGAATCTCAGATGCTGGTACCCATCCTGATACAGAAATGCTTTCAGGTTTCTTCACACCAGAAAATTGAACATAGGAGAATTTAATGGACAGGTCAACTTGTTCTTAAGAAATTAATTATTACACAGGTAGAAGCCTAAAGAGTAGGTTTGTACTGAGGACTTTATTTATATGTGTAACTTGCCATAAGCATAGTCAGGATGCAGATTTACACCATGCAGCCTTTCTTTCAGTGGAAGCTCATATAGGAGAGCAAACTCTGTATTGTTTACTTCAGTCTGTAAGAGGGCTAGTTGACACAGAAAGTTTAAAATGGAAAATCGTCTGAAATGCTTTCTGCATTCAGTGAAAATTAGCTACTTCTTTATAAAGAAGTTAGCAATACTTACTACAAATCTAGTGATTTCAAAAAATATGAAAAACAGTACATAATCTTGAAATGAGCTCCTGACTAATTTGTTTGCTTTAATCTTTGCTTGAGAGCCCTTAATGGAAAGCTGACGGTTCAGGAAGAGCAAATTGCAGAGTATATTGACAAAATCAGTGTCATGGAGGAAGAAATGAAACGAGTAAGTGCTGTTTCTCAACTGTGGCTTAAGTCTGCCAAAAAATGAAAGAAATCTTTGGGGAAGGAGGAAAACAGTTTGAACAAAGAATTGCTTGAAGAGTTTTTGTTGTTCAAGTTTCCCTATTACTCCAGAGTTGAAGCTTCCTAATCCTTGAAGTTAGGAAGTTGAAATATATATGAAGATGCAAGATGCAAATTTATTTTTTTTAAAGCTGTTTTGGTGTCTACCGCTTCACCTTTCATTTACTTTGCTGTCTTTTCAGCAAATTCTGCTTGTAAAATGGTATTGTCTCAGCTGACAATCAGCTTAGGAACAAAGAATGGGGATAAAAGAAGGTGATGAGCTCCCATTAACAAATAACACAGAAAATAGGAGCTTTCTCTTTAACAGAAAAGCAGATATGCATTTGCTGCAATATGTACCTATTCTGTGTGATCACCTTTGCTGACTCTCATCATTGTATCTGCTGTAGGTTTGTTTAGTGGGATTTTTTTTCTTGTGCTGTAACAATTGTTTGGTCTTGTGGCTTGAGTGGGGAAGCAAGGGATTATTAGTGAAAATGGTGTTGGTTTGTGATATTTTTAGTGAATACAGAGATTACACATCTATAGTTTAGGCTTAAGACCTCTGAGCCTTACGGCTGCAACTACACAGGCAGATGAAAACTTGATTTCTGGCATTGTGGCATCATTTGAGAGATGTGAAGTGGTACTGTTGAACTTACAAAAAGCAGTGTTGCCCTGTTGATGTTTGTCTTCCACTTTAGGTCGCTGAACTATTCACAGTCAGTAAAAATGAACTTGAACAGTGTAAAACAGATCTGAAAATTAAGGAAAAAGAACTGGAAGAAACACAAAAAGATCTGCAAGAAACCAAGGTTCATCTGGCTGAAGAAGAATATGTGGTTTCAGTTTTGGAAAACACTGAACAAAAACTTCATGGCACAGCTAGCAAGGTTGGCACAGTTCTTCCACCTAACTGTAGCAATAGGTTCCCTTGTTTATGAGTTTCATGAGCTGTTCAAGGAAATAATTGTTGCTGAATCATGATGCAAGTATGACAAAACGTGAATTTAAGACAGAAAAATAAGATTAACTCTCTATGAATTATATTATGATGAAAAGCTACTAAAGATTGTAGGACTCTGTGGTAATATTGACAGTTGGCTGCTAAACACACTGGTTAGTCTTAGAGCTACCTTTCCTTCAGGCCAATTTGTCATGAGAGTTTTGGTGCTTTGCAGTATCTGTTGTCATGAGTTGTTCTGCAGAACACAATTTCTTTACTAGAAACTTAGGGCATGCCCTAGTTAGATGTAACTGGGATAGAAAAGTCGCAAAATGCTTTGTGGAGTTCTGTGCAGTAATTGGCACTCACTGAGTGAATAATGGAAAGTGTCACCTCTATATTTTTAGGGTATGGTTTTGATGTGTTTGTAGATTCGTCATAATTATCGAAATAAACTTGATGTGGGGAGAGAGAGTGTGTCCTGCTATTTAAACTGCAGTGATGAAACTTGTATCTTTAGTCAACATGAGAATTTCTTTCTACTCAGATTCCTGTAAGGTTGGGAGGGGATGTCTAGATGTTTGCATGTGGGTTGTGGGGTGTTTGTGGGAGAGAAATGCGTACAAAGGTTATTTACACTGACTATAAAACCAAGAATCCACTATACATTTGAATTCTAAATTATTTATCGCAGAACTACTACTGGAAACTTCTTGCTTGATTACTGTTAAAGAATAGATTGACTGTCAAATCTTTCTGAAAAAGTTGCAGTGGTCAGGAATTGTGTTTGCTTACTATTCTGTGATAAATTATATCTTAATTCCTGAAAAACTGAGCATGTCCTTTATCAATGTTTTAGTTTCAGAGTTGGAACAAATGGTCTCTAGTAGGTAACTTTCCTATGTGCTAAAACTATACATGACATAACATCAGGATTAACAGTTGTAATTTGGTGATATAAAGGGGAGTAATTGTCTTCCTGGCGAGATGACTTCTTTAACTCAGAACTACAGTTGCTTTTCCTTATATAGTGTATGCTGTACTTGTTTAAAGGTCGACTAAAATAACTTTTTAAAAATTGTAGTTACTTAACACCGTTGAAGAAACTACAAAAGATGTATCCGGTCTCCATGCAAAACTGGACCGTAAGAAGGCTGTTGATCAACACAATGCTATTGCCCAAAATACATTTGCGGGACAAATGAATGTTTTGTTCAGCAAAATACAAGATTCACTTAGTGAAAACAATTTGAAGCAGCAACAGATGTTGGCATCTTACACAGATTTTATAGGTAAGTGTAATAATACCTGTGTTAGTATGTTATCCTGAATTTTTGCAGTGGTAGTATGGAAGACTGTTTCCTAAAATGGATCTGGTGTATCAACTGGAAGAGACTTTATTTTAAGCAATGTAATGTTTATAGTTGCACCAATCATAATGTATCTGGGATGATCAGCAGCCTTCCTGTGCTGTAAGAGGCAATAAGGTGACGAACAATAGAAAGAGTTCTTATTTTACAGTGGAACTTTGAAAAAAAATAGATAAAAAAATTTTAATGCTTCTTAATTTCTTCCGTAGGTGACCTCCTCTCTACCAGTTCAGCAGCAACTAATGTTCTTGCATCGGTTGTATCAACATCTTTTGCCTCTGTTAAAGAACTGGTGTCTACTGAAGTTTCTCACATGTCTGAAAAAATAACACAACATGAGAATCTGTCACTCGATTGTAAAGCAGAACTGCTGAGATTAATTGTTAGTAAACTCACAAACTCTTATGTTACCTAAATATACTGCTCTTGATCAAAAGGGGTTCTATAAATATTGTGTAGTGGAATAGGTCCCTTCTGATGCTCTTTACCTGTTTCTGCTTCAGCACTTGGCCGTGATTATGTCCCTTCCTGCTTTCTTTCCCGTTTCACCACCACAAGCTATCATGTGCTGCGTAGCAAATACTGTAACACCAGAGTACATGGATGTGTATATGGATGACTTCTTAGTAATGGAAATGAAGGAACAGTCATATCCTGGTTTACTCTTTTTCTTTTTCCTGCTGTTCCTAGGAGGAACATACATCTGGATTAGGAAGAGTGTTAAACATCTTGACACCAATGGTGGAATTTGTCTTGGGGCTAAACTGTCAGTTTCAGAGTAACATGAAGAAATATTCTGCTCTGGCTGACAAGGTAATGCATGTAACTTGTCTCCTACCTTGTGCTCTTCTATTTAATTTACAGATAACCCTTTGGTTTTTCTGCAGTGTGTCAGTGTTTCCAATTCTGGTCTGGTCTTTTTTCCTTTAATCTGTTCCACGAGTTCTACATTTTAGCTTGCTCTTTCAGACTTCTTTTTCTGCTTTGGAGTGTGGTGTATGTGCTGGTGACCTATGTTGGCATAGCTACTTACCTAAATGCCACAGAAGAATGATAGAACGTGCATGCTTAAAGCTATATATCACAAATATTTGATAATATCCTTAATATAGTCTCCTGTGTCTTAGAAATCTAAAATAACCAACTTAGACAAGCCTTATCACTTCCAGTTTCTCTTGCCGTCACACCAAACGTTTTCTGTAGCCACTTTGATTCCTGGGGAATGCAATGCTGTATCTTGTTAACAGTAAGCATAAGTGCAGGCAACACTTATTTTGGCTTTTTGTTGGTTTTCAGACTTAAACAGTGCATAGTCCTTGGCTTACCAGCTCTTACTTCTTGCTCTTGTCTTAACCAAGTACCTTGTCTGTGCAGTCCTGCTTTGTCTATCTTGTATGTGGTGCATAATGTTTGGGAAGGCCCACACCAAGTGCCTTTGACAATTTCCTTGGGGCAGAGTTTGTTTCTGTATAAATTATGCTAGGGAAAAATAACCAGTTCTTACCTAAAGGCAAATATCTAACTTCTATTTAAAATTTTTTTCAAAGATGGAGTGTCATAAGAAGGAAATGGATACCTTCTTTGGAGAGCTTTCTCTCACTCTGAAAAAATTACGTGAAGAAACAGCCAGTGCATTTGCTCAGCTTCAGAATGAATGTGAGAATTTCAGAGAAGAAGTGGAAAGGACGAGGTTGGCACATGCAAAGGTATCCTTAGAGTAAGAAAAAATCCTAACACTAAGGGTGATTGCTTGCTTTGATTTATGCTCTTGTAGCACTAAACCATTATACTTGCTTCAGAAGGAATGTTAGGACAGTAATTTGATGATCCTAATTTTTTCTGCCTTTGGGCTGCTTTGAGCTTATGTGGGAAGGTAATAAAAGAATTTACATTTGCTCTGAGCATGTCCAGTATATATGCTTTTACATATATCTCCAGAAGCACAGTGTCTGTATCTTCTCTAGACAAAAATTGTACCTTCAGCTTTAGAATGCTAAGTATTTAATAAAGGCATTCAAGTACCCTTTAAGGATGTTAAAGTACAGAATAACACTGATGTTTTTCTTAACAGAGTGCAGCTGAATTAATGTTCTCACTGCAAAGCCAGCTTGACCTGTTTGCTCAGGAGACTCAGAAAAACTTTACTTATGTACTTGCAAAAAATGGGACCTTGAAGACCACCATCACTGCTGCGCAAGAAAATGTTCACCTGTAAGGAGCAGATAACTTTTGGTGTATACTGATGAAGAATCAAATTATGTATGAAGAGGACTGCAACTGCAAACTAAATGCTATTCATACTTACACGCTTATAGTATAAAGTCTTCTGGACAAGATCTGTATGTTAGAGCTGAGTTCTGCCACTAAATGTAGATCTTAGTTCACCTTTTCCCAGAATAAAGGTAGCTCAAGGTTGTCTCCTGAGCACATTGCAGTTAAGAGACACTGGTCACCATAAAGGCTTAGCTTGAAGTATAATGATGTGTCTATTGCAGCATGCTTCATTCAGTTGCATATTGAATAACTGAGGTCCTGCCAAATTTGTGTCTTAGTTTGTTGTTGTTTGGTTTGGGGTTTTTTTTCAGGATTTAACAAATTTACTTCTCCCAGTGCTGCAATTTGTAAACTTACTAAATAGTGCAACAACACTGTAATTTGTTCGTCTGACAGAACTGCACTACTTCAGTAGTTCTGGTCTCAAATATTTCTAACTGTAAAATGTGTTAAAATCCACCTATTAAAATCTCTGAACTGTAACAAATATGTTGTTGCAGGAAAACTACAGACCTAGTCAGCAATACAGCTTCCAGCCAAAGCAATTTTATTGCGTCTCTGGATGATTTCTCTCAAGATCTCAGAACTATAAATGCTGAAAACAAGGTGATGTTGGAAGAATCCACTGACCGCTGTCATCAACTTCTCAGCAATCTCAAAAATGTGTCTCAGGATACTGATAAATGGGGTGAATTTGCAACTGCTCAGATGGTCAACTTTACCAATCAGCACCTGCTTTCCTTCAATGATGAGAAACAACAACTTCAGTCTTTACAAAAGGTACTGTAGTTGTTTATAGTCTAATACAACTTTCTGAGACAAACTATTACAGTAGAATTTAAGGGGAAAAAAGTTCTTGCTTATAGTCAGAACAAATCTGTGTTTCTAGATCACAGCAGAGTCATGTTACTTGGCTTAAATATATGCAATTAGAGGAAATCAAAAGCTTCACTTAAGAGCAAGACTTTAACATGCAAATAATCTCAAAAAAATGTCATAATTAACCCCATGCGGCATGCATTTGTAATTTGGGCTTTTTACATCTTTTTGGTAGTATAAACCTAAAACTATAAACCTCTAAACCTAAAACTTTATCTACCAGTAATGTCCCTGGGAGATTTGCACAGTAATCAAATACAAGACCATATTCTGGAGGATGCAAATGACTATTGTTCAGACAGAGTAACGGAGAAGGCATTCCTTTTGTGGGTACCTACTAGTTCTGGCCTCTTAACTGAGGATTTTTCTTTCTCTCTCTTTTTTTTTTTTTTAAATATCCGTTGTAAACGTCACTTCCCACTCTTCTTGTTTTATTGTTTTAATAAATAAGGAAATGGGCAGTTCTGCAGTCTTCCAGTAAGAAAAACTTCAGTGTTAAAAGCATTTGCAGTCTCAAGACACCCCTGTATCTGTTACAGCTATTGAATGCTTCTGGAGTTTCATTCCAGTGGGAACAGCTAAAAATACATGTTTTTCTTCCTTTCCCCTACAAATGCATAAAGCTTCTAGTGCTTTTAGGATTTTCACTTGAATATCCTAATTCTCTGCAGGGTTGTGCATAGAAGCATGAGGAACTGTATCTGTACCAGATGGCATCATCTTTATTCTTATGAGTAGCTTTCTAAAATGATCATACTTTCTAAGAAACTGACTCTGATCTGAAGATAGTTCTCAAAACAAGAATGTAAAACTGGCACTGAAACTTCTCAATTTGAGGTCTCTCAGTTGTTTCGTTTCGGGTCATATCACTAATCGTGCACCACATCTTAGAAAAGAGGCCATAACCTTAACTTTCCTGTTAACTTGGTGTTTTTGGTTGGTGTTTTTTTGTTTTGTTTTCAGAAAAATGAAGAAGACTGTGAGAAATCAGTAGCTGAAATTGCTGACCGTATTGGTAGGCAAAAGGCTGCTGAGGAGAAGGTACTAAATGGCCTTTGTGATCAGATAAAGGTTGATCAGGAGATACTTCTGGAGCAGAAGCTGGCACTTAATGAGGAAGCTCAGCATGGACTGTCTCAGGTTCATGGTTTCCTGCAAGAGGATCTCAAAGTGGATATTCCAACAGGTATTTAAAGTAGGCTGAGGACAGAATGGTCTTGCAGAAGGCAATCTGAGTTGCAGAATTCATAAGTTTAATGGGGACATAATGGATCTAGCAGTCTTGTATCTGTGTTTAAGGTGCATGCAAAGAATGGTGACTGAACAAAGTGTGATTTCAAAGAGCTAATGCAAAATTGAGGATCTGTAATTAAAGCAATTGCTGAAAGTGTTTAATAGTGCCTTTCGTTGGTGTGCAATCTTCATTAAAGGGACAACTCCACAGAGAAGAGACTACTTTTATCCAGTCACAATTGTGAGAACAGAACCCAGGGAAATTCTGCTGGAGCAATTAAGGCAAAAACAACTCACCCTTGATGCTGTGCTAAACACTCTGTCAAAGGAGGTGCAGGATAACGCAGATCAGGTATGTGTATGAATGGCAAATGAGGCTCTTCGGTGAAGATTTCGCACCTTGAGTGACTTTGATGCCATTGTGGAGGGTTGACTAGAACCCTAGAGCTTTTGTGGCTCTTGTGGCAGCCATTGTGTTTTACAGGTTACTTGGAGTCACGTATGCTGAACTTTTTGATAAAAACAGTATCTTGAAAAATAAGAGGAGACAAATTTTTAGAGACTTTAATTTCTGTTTTTCAAAAATTAAAGTGTCATGTCTTTTATAGATATGACTGTGCTTAGTACATTCACCTAGGAAATTCAGATATTAAATACACTTTGAAAACCTCTGTTTTAGGACCTGTTGGAAGAGGATGAAGGCTTGCAAGAATCCAGTGAAAGCCTTTTTAGTGACAAATCCTTAGTGGATACAAATGTGTGCTGCCATGCAAATGGTGGTGTTCCCTTTTTCCAGGTAAATTCCACAGATATTCCAAACAGTCTTGTATTTAAGAGTGAATAAAAATTATTGATCCATAATAGTGCTGTAGTCTAAAGGCAGCTACTATCGTTTAGTGTAGTCTCACGACTTCTTTAAATCCTGTAGAATATACTTCGTTAAACTTGAGCTAAAAGGATTCTGACAACAGTTAAAAGCAGATAAAATAAAGCAGATTTCTGACAAGCTGGGCAAACAATAGAAAACCCTTCAGTAAATAATCCTGCATGAAAAGTTGTTATTTACTAGACATTAACACATGGCTCTTAATGGAAAAGTTGAAATTAGATGGTAGGTAGTCTCTTAGAAGCCAGATAGAAATATTAACTTCCTTTGTTCTTCACAATTTTTTTTTTTTTAAAACTTCCTTTTGACCCTCTTGCTGTAACAATGTATCAGTGCGGACCCCTCCTGTGTTAGATGGGGAGTGGGGTGTGGGTGGGCTGTATTTACTTGTCATGGATCCCTTCAAAGTAGCTGCTGAACTTCAAGATGCGTACGATAAATCTCTTTAGTAAATGCAATATTAGGAACCTTTTTCAGGAGTTCTACCAACTTACTTGTTCTCAGAACACTATATACTGCATTGTACATGAGCAAAGTAGTCTTTTGTTTCTTTGTATTCTCTTAACACAGATAATTTACTGGGTATTTTCTTTAAATTCCAGCACAAAAGAAGTCGCAGAAAGGATAAAGAGAACAAATCTGCAGCTACAGTCGAGAAGAGCAAAATAGAGGATATGACGGAACAGTTTCTTCCTAAACCTAAGCCTCCTTTAAGATCACTGAACTAAGATCTGTCCGTTGCAGATCTCTGTTTTGAAACTTACATCTAATTGTCTGCTGAGCCATAACTTTGGTTATTCTCCGTCTCTGTATATATTGATGTTGATGCCAGTTTGGATAGGAAGATTGGGCTGCCAGGTGTCCTGCCTTTGTCCCATTTTTATATGCTGTAGCTTGTAAAGTATTAACAGATTTAAAAAAAAAAAAAAACCCCTACAGATTATGGTGCTGTATGTTAACTAGACTTTTATGTTGCCAAGTAAGAGATCCTTTTCTGTTTCTCATTAGATTTGAAACAGAGCAGAAAGGGATGAGGAGAAAATGCTTTGTCAGCATTACCAGCTACTATCATTAACTGTAAATAAGTGTTGTGGTTTTTTATACCTGCTTTTTAGTCTGATTCTCTTTCTGTGGCGTAGATGGCAGTCTTTTGACTGGGATACTTCAAATAAATCATTGATACATAGAAAACAAATGTGTAAGCACCTTCCTCAGAGTAAAACAAGCTTACGCGACTTTCATCTTGTATTACTAGGTCTGATTGAGCTAAAACTTAAGACATAGCTGCTGGAGTCTTGCGCTGTCAGATAAAGATCTATCCTTCCCTTGTTTTATAATAGGCAGTAGCTTTACTTCAGTGCCTCTTGAGTATATCAAAGCTAGTCTCGCTGCTGGGTTTTGGGCTTGTGTTTTGTTTTCATTTGTTTTCAACTCCACTGTCCTCACCTTCCAGCTGTGATGTGTGGGCTTGGATATGATGTTATCACCCACCGCTTATGCATGGCAAACTGGCAGCATTCCTTTTAAAATGTAGGTATCTGATATTAAAACATGCAAACTTGGTTACAAATGCAGATCCAGTGGATTTGCAGTAACTGACAGTAGCGTTTGACCATCTGCTCTTTTCGTGCTGCTTGCCTGAGAATTTGAAGAAGACCTCAAGCTATGCTGCGCTAAAAAACGTAGAATAGGGGACTAGAAGGCAGCCTTAATTCACATGGAAGCACTATTCTTACCTAATTATCAACACATGATTTAAGAGGGTGTTCATTTTTTATGTCTAGCTTGCAGGCTGAACTTGGTCTTTTTTCAAAGGGGGTGTCCATATGTCTACTTTTCTTTGAACAAGGGTGTCAACTAGATCTATGTTGGTTTTCATTCAGACAGACAGCATGCTCCGGTCCTGCTGCTAGAGACAGGCGCAATTTGAAGTGTGCCCTTGCACTGATTCTCTGAACTCCCTAGCATGAGAGGTGTTTCAGATAAACACAACTGGTCTATCTTCTTATTTACCCTCTTGCCTCTGGGCAAAGGTAATTGCCTTTTCTTAACAGCCAGATAGGAGGAGGGAAAGCATTGTTTCCCTTTCAAATGAGTAAGAGACACAAATACGGATATTTTTTACTTATTTACTTATTTTAGTGGGGTGTTACAATATCATGATACCTAGCTTATATACAACAGTAGAAAGATTTGTTAAGGCACTTGAAACATGAAGCTGCAGGACTGTCTCCAGAGAGTGTCAGATGTGTTGTCAGATTCCAGCACCAGAAACTTCATGGACTTCAGAACTCTCCAGGGCCTAGGGTCCATTTTCTCGCGCCACATCTGTTAGTACTCCCTAGATTTTTAACATGATCTTCAAAGGCTGTTGAAGGAAAAATTCAGCCAGAAGAGCTGATCCCACAGCTGTGCATTGGAATGGCTTAGGCCAACGCAAGAGGCTCAGGCTCCGTATGAACAAACTGGAACAGCCGGTACCTGAAGAGGGTCGCATCCCTAAAAGCATGCCAGAACCCGTGCTCCCTGGCTTTATCCTTTGGAACTGTCTTCTCTACCTTAGCTATGTGGTTTCCCCTGCGCTAGGTAGGCACAGACTGCTTTCCTGCTACCAGGGAGCCTTAGCAGCTGTATAAAACCCATGGACTGCTTGCAAGTGCACTCGCTCTCTGAAGTACTCCTCGGAGTCGTGTTTTCTTTTGTTCGCAATACTGATGTGGCAGATCATGGTTTCTCTGGTCCTGGTGTCTGGACGTCACACCGGAAAGCTGAACAGGATGAAAAATCCAGATGCAGAACCCATCTCAGCTTTGCTGCCCATGTTTCTTCTCCCACTAGATGGCTGTAACACTAAAGCACTAGTCCAGGGCTCAAGTACTTGGCCAGTAACCAGAGCTTAGAAATGAGGTTTTTGCAAAGTATCTGTTTAAAAAAAAAAAAAACAACAACAAAAAATCCACCCAGCTTTGAAAACTAATGTTGAATTTATGCCTCCACGAGGATAATTCTACATACAAGCTTGGGTGAGAGGTTGCTTTATCAAGAGCCACATTGGGAAAAAGATGACCCAAGCTGTGTCTTGAGCCTTGCAGCAGGGCTGATGGACATACTGCGTAACTACGTTCTTGACCTGACCTGCTTTCGGTGTTCCCCACCGCACAGGCACTGCCCAAAGCAGAAAGCAATGCCTCTTTGTACTCTATGATAGGAGAGAAGGAGGGCAAGAAAAACAAAGCGTGAGTTATTTCTTGTACGCAGCCACTGGATTTGCAGGTCTAACCCAGCGGGAAGAAATGGCATGGTCTAGGCTGGCTCACAGGGCGGTTAGAGGTTTTCTTGTAATAAGGCATCCTTTATAAAAAGAGTAGGAAGCCATTTCCACAGAATGAAGTGCAAGGTCATACCGTGACTGAATTTGTCCAGCTGAGCACGAGGGAGAGTCGTGGTGACTGAAGCTGTAGTATATGGCTGTGTTCTTATTAACCTGAGGAGTTTTTTCAGATTCTGGATTGGTGGCTAAGTGGGACAACTCTTGATTTAACAAAAAACCCAGACAGGATGAATACGATGTGGGGAAATGAAATGAGGAAATGTAGGAGGTTAAATGCACCTAAAAGACAAATGCAGAGAGTGGTAAGAGTGCAGTGGAAGCACAGGTAATCAGAGCCACCAGCTTGCTTTTCAAGTGAAAAATGAGCAGTTACAAGGAAATGGTGGAAAGGAAACTTCCTGGTTCCTCCTGGAAGCTGGGGAGCTGCAGCACTTGCTGTATCAGAGTTATTGGGCGATGCAATATTTATTTGAAGAGAAGAAAGAAGATTGGGCTGACTGGCTGGTGTTGGTGACTGGTTTTATTTTGGGATTAGAAGCAATTGTGGGTACGGAGTGGAGTGAAGGCGGTGGTGTGTAGCTGCTAGGCTCTGTCTCTCTTTTTTCTGTAGGTGTCAGTCCCCATTGCAATCATCTGTTAAACAGGTAGAGGTAACCAAGAGGAAGACTGTAACTCTTTGGTTTGATGAAGAAAAAATAAAGCTAGAAGGAACAGGAAAAAAAAAAGTTTCACATTCCTTTTCCATTAAAAAGAGGTTGAAGGGAAAAAAAGAAAATGTTCTAATGTTCCAGAGCATTAAAAACTGGGGAAAATATATATATATGTGTGTGTGTGCGTGTATATATATAGTTGGTAAATACAGCCTTTTAAACAAGTCTTTACAACCATTTGACTGCTATTTTTTTCTTTCCTTGGTATAAACTACTTTTTATGGTGGAGGGCAATGCTCTATAAACTGCACGCCCACCCACGCAGTTACTCTATGAATTTAAATACAATAAATCATGCTGTGCATTAGTAGGCATTATGTGACACGGTATTACAGATGCGGTGTAGACCACCGAGCAAAGTAGGCCGGTGTCTTGTAGGTTGAACACAAACTCTATCCACAGCAGCATTGCTATGCTCGAACTTGTTATGTTCAAATATGAACGCAGTGCAGCGACATGAATGTCTAAATCCCTAGGTTCAGAAAACTTCTAAAATTATCTTGATTTCTGTAGGAAAGGGTGTAGCTACCAAAAGGGAGGGCACATAGCTACACAAGTGCTCTCCAGACAGATAGAAGGGAGCTAATCCTTGGTCCAGCCTTCTCTTGTCAAGGTAGAAGAAACAAGCTGTAATTTTTATATGAGGTCCAAAAAATGTTCCACATTCCTAGATTTCTAAAACTTTGAGAAGACTCTCAGCTTGCAGGTGGCACAAAGTAAGATTTTGTAAAATAATGGAGATTAACTGCGTTGTTTCCTTTTTCTCCGAAGTTTAAACCAATATAAGTGTTCTGCTGACTTCCTTAGTTATGCTGGAAACGCTTTGTGACTCTTTTGGTGTGTTTATAACGTAAACATTGTAATTTAAAGAGTGAGGCAGAGTGGCTTAAACTTTGAACCTGACTAGTGTATTTTCTTTATTAAAAATGACAGAAATGTAAGAATAAAATAATTAGAAAATAATAAAATAATGAGGAAAAAAATTACATAAAAAGTAATTTTTTTAAAATTGTCTAGAGTTAATCATCTACAATTCTTGATAACATATAACTTTGACTATAATTTTTTTCTGACAATGAAAATTCAGAGTGCTAATGCTACATGAAGGTTTTTTTACATGGTGATATACTGGATTTTCATTGCAGAAGTTAGTTTTTTAAGAATACTTTTTTTTCCCCTAATTAACACAGCAGTTTTGCAAAGTGAAAAATAACAATTGGCAGTAAAGATGCTCTTCTCTTGTAGTGTCTGTGGCAAATATCGAACAAAACGTATTAAATAGGTAGCCTTCTCCTCCTCCCCAGCCATTCCAGTAGTAATAATGAATGCTGCTTCTCAGAGGACTGATTTCTCCACTGCACAAGTCCTGTAGTTCTACTGCAGCCACCTGAATTCTGTTGAAGTAATTAGGTGAAGGATCAAGTTCTCTGTTTTCCAAAGTAGGTTGTAAGTTGATAATGATGCCTTAAAAAACCATTTTAAAATCTAGGGACCTGATTGGTCTCTATGTCCAAAAGATTTCAGGCTACTTTGAAAGGTTTGGCTAAGCAATCCTGGAAGTTGTTTTCATCCCTAATTCTGTATGTTCTTTCACAGGTTCTTCAAAGGTACCTTCTTCCCCTACTGTGTAAAATGACTTTGGGATCTCTTAAAATAGGTATGATGTCCTTGTTCTGCAGGTAAAAGA